GTAGAGAGACCAAACTTTGTTTTTGGTTGGAAACTGCGCGGATTCTTCAGGGTACAGCTCTATTGTTATTTTTGGTGGTTCCAAGCATCGCAAAGGTGAGTTTCCCTTGGCAGGCGTCATGCTTTAGCGGCAAACATAGGGAACTGAGATCTTGGATGAGCCACTTGAGCCTCAGTTGAAACCGGGTTTTGGTTGGACAGCCCATCGATAATTGGTGCGACCGCTGGGTGTGGGTCCACGTTGGTACGAGGTTCTAGTTCTGAGTCGTTTGATGGAGAGCTAGAAAAGCCTTCGATCAGAACCCCCCTTCCAAGAAGGTTCTACTTCAGCTTCCTGGGAGGTGTTTGTGGGCCATTGGTTTCCAAACGAAGCTAAGCATTCCGTGGCAGAGGCCGGAAATCGCAGAAGCAGGCACTGGCAAGGCCGGGGTCTCTCGGTTTTGCTTTCTTGACAGAAGCTGGTAGATTTGTCTCAGAATAACAGGCAGCTAAATGGGTGGTTGTCCTCTTGATTTCTGTTCAAACCAAACATAATGATACAAATCAGCCTGCATCAGGACCCCTGGCGCAAAATTGGTTCTGACACCCTTCCACGGTTTCACTGTTGCTTCGTTTCAAGCAACCGAACACGGGCAATCTGGGGTGTGTCCTTTTGAACCCCTTAGATGGGCAGGTTCCCTTCAGAATGACCCTAGGCAAGGCGCTGTTGCCTTTGCGTTTCTTTCAAAACCAGGCCCAAAGCATTTAGGACTCAAGACATCCCGCCCTAAACATGGCACCCTCAAAGCACCTTCCAGACAACCCCTTGTCTGGCCTGACTGCCGCAGGTCATACTGCCAGTGGAAGATCTTGGTGCAGAGGCGCATCCGTTCAAAGACTGTCTCTGGGAACGGGATCTCCACATGGATCCATGGGGAGGAATTGGCAGCCATGAAGCATATGAGCCGTATGCACACGAGGCTGTTTGTAATTCTCGGTGCAGTACAGATCGATTCTCGACTGGACGCCGAAAAATATCGCGCAGCGAATTGGGCTGAACACAATTTTATCTAACCTGATCAAGCATACCTTGTTTTACTGGTTAGCTGCATGGGTTTGCCTCTGGCCCTTGGGATTCCATTGTCATGGGCTAGGCGGCAGTGGCCTCGATGGACTTTATGAATGCAGCAAGGCGTGCAGTGAGGCCCCCAGAGCACAACAGGCCACACCTTTGGGAGGTTCAAAGTTGCTCCCTCAAAGTTCCCCATGAACCTGATACCGCCCCCCCCCCCCCCCAATGTTTGGGAAGCTGAGAATGTCACGTCGGCTTCTTGGTTTCAACAACGAGGGATGCGATGTTTTGTTGATGCGAAAGGGAACCCCGTTGGCTAAAAGCAACCAAGAGGAGAACCTGCCCGTTACCCAAATCCCGACGTTCATTGGCTTTTTTTCGGTGGGAGCTCGGTACCTACCCTTTCTCCAACAATCGTGGAAGTGGACATTGATGTTCCCCTAGTCTTCGCGCTCGCTCCTGTCAGCTTACATGACGTTGGAAGGAGTTGTTTTGGTACCTGACGAGTCCCTGATTCAAAAGGCATGTCAGAGTTCCGTCATTGCTTGATGACCCTTCTCAGTGAGCAAAACCTAGTAACATTGTGACAATGTGGCACTAGGCATCGCCAGTTCGTGTTGAAAGGAAGACATGACAACCCCGCCGCCCCCGCATTTTGTGCAAGCACGATTGGTGAGTTTGCCCTTGAGGAAATGTCTGTTTGCGGGCATTCGGTGAATCTATCTTCCCAAATCACCATCGGCCAAAACGAGCTCATGATGAAGGTCCAGTACTTGGGGAATCCTAATTTCCAGTTTGTGACCCAAGCGACACATCCCATCTCAAAGTCTCATAGCCTTGGACAAATCTGCGCCAGAATGAGCTCCGCCAAGGAGCGGCCAACAACTTCAGCCGCGCGTTGATGCGCTACTCTATTGTCCACAAACGTGTTTGATGCCGTGGTCAAGCACATCTTTGAGAGATGTCTGGCAGTCTGGCAGCCCAAAGCTGAGCAATGAGTTCACGCGTTGCGGCTGAGCAAAACACAGGCCAGCCAGCGCTCGGATACCACCGCAACAACGTGACGCCTCCGGAACACTTCGGAAACAAAGGCAAAACACCGCTGGGCCGCCACTGGGACACTGCCAGCAAGAGTACCATCAAGCAAGACGCTCATGTTTGCAACACATAAGCTCAACAAGTCCCTTACATCACGCGAGCACATGCCTAGTTTTTGGTGTTGCAAACCATTTGGGTACGTGTGAAAATTGGGGAGCCCCAAAACATGGCGGCGTGCCCCCCTAGCCAACCTGGAAACGGTACCCTGCAAGGTACCAGACCGGTCTTGCAGGGCTCCTGTCGAGATGTTTTAGGTTGGACATACTGTGGATGGACGAAATCCTGTAACTGCAAATACCAACAAACAATGGTTTCCTATGGTTTCAATTTGGTGCCGGTTTTTGCCCATCCACAGTATTAGGCTGTTTTTTTCGCCTAGGGTACCCTTTCTTGGGATTGTGTTCCCCGGAAACACGATCGCAAGAGGCCAACCAGAGTGGGGCTCCGATTTGTGTTTAAGACCATGCCGTGGGATTTCTGCGGCGCACACCGCGCTCAGGTGGTCGTTGCCACCGGCTCGGAGCTGGCTGCTACTGCCAGCACCGCCCTGGGAGATGCGAGGCCGGCGGCCACCGGAAAGTCGGGCCTGTGCCAGACTCCACCTAAGCCTGGAATGATACGATTCCCCTGCAAATACCAATAAAGAATGGTTGCCCATGGTTTCAAAGTGGTGCAGGAGTTTGTCCATCCACAGTCTCTTGTTTTAGACAAAGTAGGAAGCATCCTCTGACAAATTGATTTTCTGGGCACCCCGAATGTGGGCCGAGTGCCTATTTTCTGGGCACCCCAATGTGGGACGAGTACCTCCTAATATAGCCTCCTAATCAAATTCCATGTTGGATCAAAGGCATTCGTGTTTGAATAAAGCTGGGTTTCCGCGGTAGGTTGACGGCATAGCCTAAAAAGCGGATATTCGGTGTGAGGGGCAATCGTTCTGCATGTTTGCCCTTTTGGGTCCTTCATCTCCCCTACTAGCAAAGGGTTCCTTGCGAGGGTCTAAGTTTGGACAAAGAAAGTTTCGTGGGGGAACCGCCCCCTCCCTCCCCCCTCCCTTTGCGGTGCTATAAAACAAATAAAGAACAAATAATAGCAAATAAATATAACAACAAAAAAGAGAAAGAACAAATAGGAGATGGAAACCCCAACATGAGCTTCAGTTTCCTCCGCTGACGGCGATGCTTTGGTTCCTGTTTGTGTCAAAGGGAAATGTCAGCACTGGTGAGTATTCTATTTGTCCGGGGCACTTCAAGCAAATGCATGGTTTTCTTGTGGTATCCCTTCAAAACCAAAAAGCGTATGCAAGAAACACCCGAGTGGACAGCTGGAGAGCGGGTGCCTACTAATCCAAATACCGGACTACTTCAAGTACCGGCTATGTTCGGGGCCTTTTTTGAGAGACCTGGTTTCGCGTGGTCAATATCTCTTTTTGAGCCAGGGGTTGCCGTCATACCTTTAAGATAAGTAGGTATTAGGTGCAAGGGGTACCCTCAAAATAGACCCACCCGCGTTGGCCCGCGCAGTCCCTCCTGCCCGGCCAGCATGCTGCGGGCGAGCAAGACGTGCGGCTCTCAGGTATCGGTGTGTGTTTCTTCGAGGGAGCCCTTTTCGAAGCTCATGGCCTTGCTCCCCCAAATTGCCATGGAACTCAGAGAAGGGGGTCCCCCAACAAACGAGACTCAAGTCTCGGCTTGGCTTGGTCGAAGTTACCTTTAAGCCTTTCAGAAAATGTCAGTTCCCCACTCCCAGTGGATCCATGAACCTGTATAGTAGGTGACCAAGTCTTCAAGGAAACCACCCATTAAATTAAAGAAACAAAATCGCTGGTTACCTACTTCCACTGGGACTAACAAGAGGTTGAACTCTTTGCGCTATGAGGACTTGGCTGCTGGATTCTGCGAGCGCGGCTTCTGTCAAGTGAAGTCACAGAAAGTGATCAGCGTGAAGCAAAAGGGCCGCTGCTTGCAAGCTGAAGCAGCATATGAGACACATGCCCGCACACACACACACATGCACACATTGACACACACACACACAGACGCACAGACACACAGACACAGGCACCCCAGTCGTGTTTCCGTGAGTCTACAGATGGCCAGTCCGATTCACGTCAGCTGGGTATGGGAAAGCTGTTTGCTATCCCAGCCGCAGGGACACGGCGATTCCCGTAGAAAGGCCATGGGGATGCGCCCCGAAACAAACCTTACATTGCTAAGA